TGCGCATAGTTCTTCTCGGTCGACCTGAAACTTCTAGAAACTGAATAAACTCGGAACAAACTAGATTAAGTCAATTCAGATCGAACCGAATCGAGTTATCTTGAATTGGTCTGACCCGTTGACTTTGACTTAGATCGTTGAATTTAACCTGACTGTTGACTTGATTATTGACTTTGACTTCAGTCAAAGTTTCAAAAAGTCATATTTTATTTTTTTCGATCTCTTGAGTCTTAATCTGGAGTCCATTTCACCAAATTCAAACCCGGTAAGTTGTTTTCAACATTTTATCTTCTAATTCAAATAGTTTTCCTGATTAAGTTCTGTTTCTGACATAATTGATTTTGCTTTGTATCCGAGATATTATGGGACGTTGAATTCAAGTTCTAGGGTGATCAAATGGAGTTTAAATGGCTGACCAATTTGACACGTAAATCAAGGTAATACTTTATAACCCTATGCATGCTTTACGATAAATGTTAGTAACTAGTTAATGCATGATTGAAATGTTTGATCATGTAAATTTCGATGATTATTTTAAACTCGTACCGAATATGGGAATAGGTGTTGATTGGTTAAGACTCGATTGATTCAGATAAGAAACTATAAGACTGATACGGAATAATTCCAAGGATTAATGATGAATTAATAAAGTATTTAACCCTAAAATTATTAAATTATGATAATTCTCGCTAAAATTTTAAATGCCAGAATTACGGGAATAATAAATTACGTAATTACCCTTGAGAGATAAAAATGGCATGAAATGACCTAATAAATTTTTTTATTCACTTGTTGATATTATGATATATTTGGAAAAGTTTAATAGTTGGTTTCTAACCTTAGAGATGATAAAAGACTTAGAATTTCTGATTTCTGGAACAAGTATCTGATAACTAAATTACTAGAAATAATGCATATGACTAAATCAAAGAAAATGATCAAAATATCATCGAGCTCTAAAATGACTTAAATACCTTAAGCATTGAAATGATTTAAACCCTTATGACCTTGAAATAACTTAAATACTTTCATGACCTTAAAACAAGTAAATATCATTGGATAAATCCTGTAAACACTGATAAACCTAAGTGTTGTGTCATCCCTTGAGGTTTGGAGCAAGAACCAAGCACGACAGTCATTCTAGATACAATTGTAATATAGAAATAAATAATATCATCGGAATACATGTTCATCTCGAGCTCCTTTTCAATGGTAATTAGATGGTGATCAGTTCAACTAGTGCAATCAATATTAAGAAGTGAATATTCTGAAGGATATCATCTGAATGATTAATGAGTACCATAGTGATGTGATCTATTTAATTTGTTGATCCTGAATTCTGATAGTTCTATATAAATCCTGAATATTACACATTATCGTTTTACCATCATTGGTTGAAGTTACTAAGAGTTTTTCTAGAATCATAATGAAAAAATATACTCTTAATGGACTGAGTAATGGAAACAATTTTGTTATATTCGAATCTTAAATAATCTTATTATAAGGTCCCTGAATCCTATTATGATGCACCCAAAATCCTAAATGGTCCTGAAGCATCAATTTCTAAATGTATGATTAGATTCAATAATAATCGAGCCATTTTTAATAGGGGCCTTGTTCATAAAATTCCCAATTTATGTAAGTTTCATGTTTTCTATCCCTAATAACCACCAAGTGCCTCCGAAAAATATCTAAATCCTCTCGTGTGTTCTATATGCATAAAGATGTTTTCTCTAATTTATAAAAAATTTAACTTGGATATCTAAAATAAAATCTGACTTCTGATCTCTGTTTACTGATATATAACATATATGGCTCCTGATCTCTGATATTACTAGTTACTATTGATCTGATTTATATTGGGTTACTTTTGGGATATATTCTAGAGTTTTGAGATTCAACTCTGATCAAGTTGGTAATTCCTTACGGACTTAAAGTGACCCTTGGGTAGGCTCTTAGGCCACGAGATACTTCCTTGGGTAGACTCTTAGGCCCTAAGGTACTCCCTTGGGTAGGCTCTAAGGCCTTAAGGTATTCATTGGGTAGGCTCTAAGGGCATAAGGTGCTCCCTTAGGTTGACACCAACGTCCAATGAGCCTAGGGTAAGTCATTATGATGCGGTTATGTGGAACTACATATGGTGTGTTCAGGTGGAGGGTATTATTGTGTTTTTAAAAATCTGTTTTACTCAATAAACTACTATTTTTGGTTTTTGTTGGAATACACTAGACTCCCCAATTTCATTTTTTGAATCTGCCTCTCTGAATGTTTCTTCCGAATTGTATATTTCCTGACTCTTATCTGAAGAAATAATTATGAAACCTCAACTCATCACTAGGATCTAAATATGCCTGGATAACTAAGAAAATTTTCATGATGTTTCCTATATTTGCTTGTCCTTTATCATTATCTGGTAGTTCTGTATTACCGAGCTTTTCTAAAGCTCACTCTATTATTCACCATTTAAGGTTAAAGGATTTGGCCTTGTGCAACATCGACATCAATGGGAGTTCATTCAGTGTTACTGATTGAGGGCATGTAGGTCAATCTTGTTTTTATATCAATGTCTTAAACTTGTTTGATATTGTATATAGTTGAATTTTGTTTTGAGTTTCTAAATTATTTCTGAACTTGTACTATTTATTTATAAATTGTTTTACGATTTTTAACCGGTTTGTCAAAACTTATTTTATTTTTCTGGTATTTTTATTATGGGTCACTCCAGTGGGCCTAATGTAACACCTCAGATCAGGCCACTCGTACCAATCTAAGGGTGTTACATCTACTTCGAGATATTAGGGTGCTACAAAATACTCAAATTACAGAAAGAAAATACAAAACAAGAGTAAACTAATCATATAAGTCAAATATTTCTCCAAAAACTATTAATGTACACAATATAGACACTAAAGAACAAAAAACACCATGTAAAAAAATTGTTAATATCCAACCAAACAACTCATACAAATGATGTATAGAAATAAATATCATTCTTGGTGTTGAAGGATAGACACCATAAACAACAAAATAAAAATATATATAATAATGACGATTCATTGACGAATGCATATCACAACTTAATTATTACCTGTTTTTAGTGGTTACCAACAACTATTAGTATCAAGCTCAAGGGTCCAAAGCAGAAATAGATCAACATAATAATTAAATAAACATCATTTAGAAAGACAATATCAAATTTAACCCTAACAAATATGCGATACAAGAACTAACAAAACATTCATCATCTACATTCTAAAATAGAAATACTAATTAAACAAAAAATAACATAAATCATATCATAGGAGATTAAAATTTTTATATTTTAGATTTATTTATCTAAAAAGTTGTATAAACCTTTTGAAAATTATGCCATTTAAAATATATATAATTTTATAAATATTTTAGAAGATACACAAGACAAATTCCAATGCAATGTGTATTTCGTTGATCACTAGACCTGGTAAACTAGACTCGCATCCGATTATCCTAACCAATTTACTCGATCCAATACTCGATATTAATCTGAACATGATAATTAAATTTGATCTGATACCCGACTCGTACCCAACCCGAACCATACTCGATCCAAAATTTAGCGAAACCGAAATCAACGAGAACCGAAATTAACCCGAAACAAAAGCAACCTGAAACAAAAGCAACCAAAACTGAAATTAACCCGAACCGAAAGAAACCCAAAACCAAATTTTAACCCAATCCGAAAGCAACCCGAACTAAATTTAACCCGACCTAAAAGAAATCCGAACAGATTGAAATTGATAAAATTATTAAACGATAAAAGTTATTTTCAACAATAAATTAATTTTAAAAAAATTGATAATTTATTAAAAATATTAGATTTATAATAAAATAATAAAAAGTTTAAGAGGAATATAAAGGTAAAAATCTAATTGTAATAATTGAAAATAGTAATAAATAAAGTTTACTTATCTTATTTGTTATAAAATATTAGATTTATAATAAAAATAATAGAAAACAACTATAACAAAGGAAATAATATTAAATTTATAATAAAAATAATATGAAGTTTACTTGTATTACGACTAAAACTTAACAAATAATGTTATGTATTATTTTTTAAAATTTAATAAAAATATTAAATTTATAATTGAAAATAAAATTTTTAATAAAAATTATTTCTTTATCAAATAGTTTTCATTATAAACTTTTCATACGATATCAATATAAAATTTTGTTAACAAATTTTAACACGTATTATAGGATCGTATTTGTGTCAAATTATCGATTTATCATATCTAAATGATGGTTTAATTCAAAATATTAAACGATTGAAAATTGAAATTAAACCTAAATATTAAAATTAACAAATAAGAAGACATATTTTTACAAGTATATGTCAATTATTATATATATACTTGATTTTGATTAGACTCATAACCAATTCAAACCGAATTGACATGATCTAAATGTTGACCTAAATAAAAAATCAACCGATCTGATGTTGATCCGACCCGAAATCTAACTGATCAATTATTAACCCAACTCAAAAATCAACCGATCTGATATTGATTCAAACTAGAAAACAACCGATCCAATAATCACCCGACCTTAAAATTGACCCAACACGATACCCAATTCGATTCATCGTACACCCAAACTAGATCTGATCCGATTCGATCTAAAAAATTTAAATCTAGACCTAAAATTACCCTACTTGAAATGACATGATATAAACCCGATCTGAATGACCCATTTTCCACCTCTATAATGATCACACATCCAAAAATAGGACCATGTTGTTCGACCTAAATAGAAAAGTAATGGTACAAAAAGTTTTTGTCGAAAAAAACGAGAAAAAAAAGAAAGAAATGTGTTGTCTTTACCAAATAGAAACAATCAATCTCAACGCAAAACCAACCACTCAACTTCAAAGAAACAACCTCCTCCCATGCATGCCCTAAATTACTCCTCACCCTTGTTTTTCCTCACCACAACCATTTCTTTCGCACCCCATCTCTCCCATGGAGGATGAGCCGGTCGTCGCGTCTTCTGCTGGTACCCGATTGCTGTCGTCGACACCCCATGCCGTCACCCCCACCACCACCAACAACCATCTCATAAATTTACCTCCTCCTCCAGGACACCCTTTAGCCACCTACGTCGTCCAAGTCCCTAAGGACCAAATCTACCGCGTCCCGCCGCCCGAGAACGCCGCGTTCGTCGAACGCCACCGCAAGGCGGCCAAGGCTGGCGGAAAGAAAAGCAAATGGAACTGCTCCATCTTCATGATATGGTTCCTGATTGTTTTTCTCCTCTTGTGTGTTATTGTAGGCGGAACCCTAACGGCGATTCACTTCACCTTCACCCCCTTAGCCCCCAGATTCTCTGTCACAAAGCTTCTGGTTAAGCAAACGAAACAAGGCATCCCACCTACGTATGACATTACGTTGAAAGCCAAGAATCTGAACGAGAAGATGGGGATCGAATACAAATCAGACGAAGACGGTGCGAGTCTCATTTTCTGGACGAAGAACCTCGGATTCGGAAACTTTCCCGACCTCAAACAAAACGTGGGAGATTCGAACAACGTCAATATTAAAATCCGTGGCCTGAAAGGAAAACAGGTGCCGACTATAATTCAGAAGAGCATCAGCGACAAAAAGACGAAACGCCAAATTTCTTTGAAGCTGAAACTCGAATCTCCGTTGTTGTTTAACGTTTGGATCTTGAAGCTTTGGAAGAAAGACTTGGATGTCAATTGCGACTTTAGGGTGAGCACCATGGGACAAGGAACAAAAATTCTGTCCCAAAAGTGTAAGACCAAATTGTCTTAAAGATTGATGCACAAGGTAAATTAATCTGTAATAAATATAATATATTATTATGGGTTTAATGCGTCGGGATTTGAGAATCATTATCTTATATTATAAATTATAATTTTAAATTCATACATAAAATTTCATAGGTTTAGGTAAAACTTTTAATTTTACATTTTTAATGTAGTTGAAAAAATTAAAATAAAGATTAATTTTCTTGTTTTGTTTTTTTATTGAATATTTTCGTATTTTCTATTCGCCTATTTATATTCATCCAATTCAACTATTTTCTATTTATCCAATGACTCAATGATTTTAAAATAGTGTAAAACTAAAAAAATTATTGGTAAATAGATCATGCCTCAATTTCTTTATATATATTTATTATTGGGTTTGGTGAATAGATTCATTGCTTTGCTTTACTTTTCTTGTTAAGTGCACTTTCTGACTTTTGTTAAAATTTTGCATTTAGGTACAACCAACGACCTCTTGAGATCGCTCCATGCTAATACTTGTTGAATCTTCTTCTACTTTTACTTTTCCTGGTTGAAAACTTTGCAGAATAATGCACTAGTTTTCCCCTTGTTATTACTACGTTGGTATTGATTATATGTGGGTTTGAGCTGTTCGATCAACCTAGTTTTGGCATTTTCGGTGGATCAAAGATATATCCCATATAATTTCAATCGAATTTAAGGGTTTTTTTTATAAAAAAGTAGAGATTTAAACCAGAAGGAGATTTGTAATCTAACTTCTTTTATTAAAAAACATACGCTTTGAATATAACGAATAATAATTTTTAGGGTAAACTATATAAATAGTCCCCAAGTTTTTAGAACTCTTGTATTTTGGTCAGCCAACTTTTGAAACTTATAATACAGTCATTGAATTTTTAATTCATTTTTTTGTAAGGTCCTACTATTACATGTCCTTAGTTTTTGCTGACGTGACACTTAACTGACATTAACGTTTTGAGTGGCAGCAAGTTCTTCTTCTTGTTGTTGTTCTTCTTCCTTCCTTCTTTTTTCAAGTACTCAAGAAAATATCACTTAGCCCACTATAACCTTCCTAACCACAATCAAACTTTAGACGGGACTAAAGTCGCTAGAAAATCACAAAGGAATACATCTAACGACTTTTGGCAAACTATTGAAGGGTGATCGTTGGTGCTTCCTAAGTCACAGTTTGAGCTTGTCCTAAAGCACTACAAGTTGCATTCTGCAAGAAGAAGAAACCATGTAAGAAAATCCAAACTCCAACATTGTTAAAAGTCTAGTTTGAGCATGCGTAAAGTGAACACATGTTCATAACCCATATCCACACAAGTTTTGATATGTTTCACTACATTTATTTGAGTAGCAGCACACCCAATGGCTAAACATTGCTTTCTACATCTTCCAACGATAGGTTGTAACCGCAAACCAAGGCCTACTGGCTGAATTCGGGTGTCAACAAGCTTTCGGTGAAATACCACAGTCTCTATCTGGTTTCTTAGTTACGACCTTAGGTTCAAAATGCATAGCTCCATTGGAGAAATGTAAGAGCATTGAGAGTAACCCGACAAAACCCGGATCCAACAGGGCATTAACATCGCTGGTAATGTCATGTCAAAACCCAACTGTTATAGCTTTATCCCCAAGATCATTGTTGTTGGGAAATAAATGAGTAATTTCCATATAACCAGATTAGTGAGAATGCAAAATAAAAGCGAAAAATTAATACCCGAAATTGATAACGGAATTTGACCAATTATGCCTACGTCTCCAGACTGTTGCAGATCTTTTACTAAAGAGAGAAAATTTATTGGTGTTTACAAAACACTCACAACTCACAAGAAAACTCTATAAACTCTTTAGTATTGAGAGAAAGAAATGATTTGGGATGATTTTAAAGCTAAATGGGTTAGGGTATTTATAGTTGAAGCTTAAGGACTAATCTTGTAAATACCCTAAAGTAAAGGACTAAATTTGGTAATTTTCCCTTACCAATTTTCCACTATTTCAACTGTCAACTTTCAACCAAATACGCTGCCAACTTTGAAAATCAAATTTGCAGTAAACTAGGACTTTGAACTGCACCAAACTTTTCACTAAACTTTGACTGACTTTTCAACAATCTCCCACTTGAAGACTTATTTTAATCTATCTTCACACCTCGATCAATGAAACAACATTTATGGTCTTGTTACTATAGCATGCCAACTGAAGCTGAACACAACTTCAGTTTGTCCGTAGTCATTGTCCTGTAAACCCACTTGTTGTGGAGCGCTTTCTTGCATGGTGGTAATTCAGCTAATTCCCATATCTGATTTGACATAAGCAAGTCTATCTCATCTTTCACGGGAGACTCCCACTTGATTGAATCCTCCACCTGCATTGCTTCATCATAGCACTCTGGTTCACCATTGTCAGTCAACAACAAGTAGTGCATAGAAGGAAAATAACGCTGGGTTGGTTTAGGAATTCTGGAGGAGCGTCTCAGTTTTGGTGTGTCTGATTCTTCTTAAACTGCTTCAGGACTGATCTGAACAACATTTCCATAAATCTCCTCAAACTTAGCAAATTTATTTGTTTCAGCTTCGGTATTGGAGTTACTTGATTCTATGGTTGACCTGTCTTTGTACATCACATTTTCATTGAGAATAACATCTCTACTTCTGATGATCTTTTGATTTTCATAGTCCCAAAACTGGTAACCAAACTCATCACCACCATAACCAACAAAGACACATTTGTTGGACTTAGCATCAAGTTTACTTCTTTCAACAGAATTTATGTGTACATAAGAAATACAACCAAACACTCTTAAGTGTGAAAGGTTTATTTCTTTCTTGCTCCAAACTTCCTCTGGTATTCCACCATCCAAGGGAACTGAGGGCCCATGGTTGATCAGGTAAGCTGAAGTGTTGATAACTTCATCCCATAGCAATTTGGGCAATCTGACTTGTATCTTCATGCTTCTGGCACGTTCATTCAGAGTTCTGTTCATGCACTTTACTACGCTATTCTACTGTGGTGTCATGGGAACTGTTGTCTCCATATTGATCCCATTATTTGAGCAGAAATCTCTGAATCTACTATTTCTGTACTCTCCTCCATTATCAGACCTCAACCACTTGACTTTTAAACCAGTCTCATTTTCCACCATGACCTTCAATTTTCTGAAGGTATCAAAGACTATTGATTTCTTCTTCAGAAAATAAACCAACAACTTCCTTGAAGAATCATCGATGAAGGTGACATAATATAGTGAGCCTACAAGAGATGGAGTTGGAGATGGTCCCCATACATCAGTATGAACCAACTCTAACTTTTCAGTCTTGGGTGTCTTGCCAATCTTTGCAAAACTGACTTTCTTTTGTTTTCCAAAGATGTAATCCTCACATAGTCCGACATCTATATTCTTTAGATACAGCAGTTTTTGTTTTCATAAAAGTCTCTTCATTTCTTTCTCGCTCATATGGCCAAGCCTTTGGTGCCATAGGTTTGATTTTCCATCAGGATCTTCTATTGCAATGATATTCTCCAAGTTTGAGGTTATATACAGAGTACTAATTTTCTTACCATGAGAAATGACGAGTGCTCCTTTGGTAATCTTCCATTCACAGCCTGAAAAGGTTGTACTATATCCTTCTCCATCAAGCTGTTCTACAGAAATTAAATTTCTTTTGAGGCCAGGAATATGTCTCACTCTTTTCAGCTTCCAGGTGGTCTGGTTTGGCAACTTTAATCGGATGTCTCCTTTTCCGATGATCTTCAAGGTTCATCATTAGCTAGATGAACCTTCCCAAAATCACCACTGACATAGTTCTCCATGATTTCTTGGCATGGGGTGGAGTGGAAAGATGCCCCTGAATCTAAGATCCATGATTCAATCGGGCTATTGACGCTTAGAATCATGACATCACCTATCTCCACTGTCATATTGGCAGATTCATGTGCGCCGATATCTTTCTTCGGTGCTCGACAATCTCTTTTAAAGTGACTCTTTTTGCCACAATTATAAAAGTTATAATCTTTCTTTTTCGTTCTTGATTTTCCCCTTTTGGATTTCGATCTGCCACAATTTGAATTTCTTTCTGAAGTTCTCCCTCTAGACACCGTATGCAAGGTTGAGGAGCTTGATGCTTCACCTGATTCTCTCTGTCAAATTTTTTTACTCAATACAAGATCCCGAAAATCGTCGAATTTCAATTTATTATTTCCCGACGAGCTACTGATTTCTGTAACAGTAGCATTCCAACTGTCTAGTAGAGATGATAAGAGAATTAAAGCTCGAACTTCATCATCAAATTTAATTTCCACGGAACTCAACTGGGTTGTGATTGTGTTAAGTTCATTTAGATGTTGAGCCACTGATGCCCCTTCCGCTATTCGTAAATTGAATAATCGCCTCATCAAGTGAACTTTGTTTGAGGCCGATGGCTTCTCATACATACTGAAGAGAGCCGCCATAAGACCCGTCGTGGGTTTTTCCTTTGCTATGGTGAAAGCAACATTGCGGGATAATGTCAGTCGGATAACTCCGAGGTCTTGTCTGTCGAGAAGAGCCCAGTCTTCATCCTTCATGCCCTCTGGTTGCTTTCTTGAGAGAGGTTGTTATAGATTTTTCTAGTACAAAAACTCTTCAATCTGCATCTTCCAAAAGCCAAAGTCCGCACCATTGAACTTCTCAATTTTCATATTCCCTTCTTCTGCAGCCATCGCTTCCACTCGAATATGGCTTCTTTTGGATTATTTCTGAAAATTCTTGCGAACCACCGTGTATTAGAACACCTCCGTCGACAAACTCGTATCGCCAACCAAATTTTACTATTCATGAAATTTACTATTAACGTAAATAGTAACTTCGCAGAAAAACTGACAAAATTCACAACGAAAAGCTCTTGGTACCAGTTGTTGGGAAATAAATGAGTAATTTCCCGATAACCAGAATAGTGAGAATGTGAAATAAAAGCGAAAAAATAATACCCGAAATTGATAACGGAGTTCGGCCAATTATGCCTATGTCTCCAGACTGCTGCAGATCTT